CCCCCCCCTGCACAAATTGTGGCCTTAGGTTCGACTACAGATGTAGTCTAAATGTAAACCGCTCTGAGACCCATTAGGGGTCATGAGCGGTATAGAAATCACATGTAAATAAATAAATAAATAAATAATGCCATAGAGTCCACCTCACACAGCGGCCATTGTCTCCAGAACTGATATCTGTCGCCTGGAGATCATTTGTAATCCCAGATCTCCAGCCACTACCTGGAGGTTGGCAACAACAGTTGTCCAACAGAAACTTTCCCCACTAAGTTCAAGGCTAGGGTGTTGGTTGTTAATATCCAGCAGTCAGATGATGAGGATCTAAGTGACAGCAGGCAAGCTGCTGATAACAAGTCCTGACCGGTTCAGACCAGATAAGGTATGAGGTCAGTAATCATGACTCAGCCTGATGCTGATTGGTCACTCAGTGTATATAAGTGGACAAGTACATGCTCTGTATTCTCTCTTCTTGGATATGGTGTTTGGCGGAGCACTTTGTCAGTGGACTGTATATATTGTAAATAAATTTGTATATAGTTTACCACAGGACTGTCTTGGTGTGGTGCTATACAGAATCTTCTCTGTAGTGATTGCTGGAGTGCTGGAGAAGTCCTGGTGGCTGGTGGTGCTGGAAAGTTGCTTCATACGCACTGCGCAACATAGGGTTGCTAGGTCTGGGTTGGGAAATACCTGGAGACTTTGGGGGTGGATCCAGGAGACAGCGGGATTTGGGGAGGGGAGGGGCCTCAGCATGGTACAATTCCATAGAGTCCACCCTTCAAAGCAGCCATTTTGTCCAAGGGAACTGATTTCTGTCAGCTGGAAATCAGTTATAAAAGGGGGGGGATCTCCAGGCCCCACCTGGAGGCTGGCAACCAACGCTCCCTCTAAGCTGTAGTCTCTTCTGAGGAAAAATTCTACTTTGTAAGCTACTGGGCATTAAAGCCATGAGCGAGCGATTTGGCTACTGCATAGATTAGTTTGCTCTGGAACCCTCCTTCCTGAGCTGACAAAAATCTGTGAGCTGGAGGCTAAAAAACTGTGAGCTAGCTCACACTAACTCAGCTTAGAGGGAACATTGCTGGCAACCCTATTCAAGGTCCAGTCTTCCCCTGACACCTGCAGCCTCAGAAACAATACTCCGGGGGGCGGGGATCTTCTGGAAGCTTCCGGGCTCAACTCCATGGACAGTGCTCCCCAGAAACTAAAGCACTTTGTTACATAACGGTTCCTCATTTGCATCCACTTTCCTGTCACCAAAACATTCACAGAAGATCATGCACACCTTATGACATAAGTGCATGGCTTATGTGCAAAGGTCTTAGCATTTATAGCCATCCAATAAAGTGCCTGAAGGTCAACATCCCTTACTAAGTCTCTGACACAAATGTGGTCCTTATGTCAGGAATATTGATAGGACGGCTTTTCACGCCTCTCCTGACTACAGATGTTGTTTGTGTTCCTTTCGAGTGCTAAATGAGCCTCCGCCCCTGCCATTTTGCAATGTTTGTTGATTTGCTCCAACTGCTTACCTTTGCTAATAGCCTATAAAACACTTTGATTGATGAGGTCTCCGTGTGGTTCATGCAGGAAGAGCACAAGAATTGCTTGCAGGGTGTCCGTGTTTGCATACCTGCCGCAGTACAAGAGAAGTGAACCAGCACCCAGTTGCATCCTGCCATTTGGGAATGGCAAACACAGCCGAGAGGCACCTCTGCACTTAATTATGAACTGTTTATTTTCAAGTACTACAGGGAAGTTCCAGGGGAAAGCTGAGACCCATACAATCAAATAACAACACAATGATCTTGTTCTTGCTTGTTTTTTTTTGTTTTTGTTTTTAGGTCTAGCTCCTCTTGAGTCCTTCTAACAAAAGTCGCCTGGCCCATGCCTGAAAGCAGTCTGCATATAGCCAAGGCACACTGCTGCAAAACTGCTGGAAAGCTGCCGGAAATTTGTCATTCTGACAAGAAGCATTCTACCACAAAGCAGACCACTGGGAAAGACAGTTAAGATGCAGCATCACGGGAGCCCAATTGTCCATTGTTTTACTGGTCCAGCAAGTAAAACTGTACATTAGTGCCTAACTTGTCTTGAAAAGCCAGTAAAGGTTAGCCTGGTAGAACTAATTTTCTGTTGATGTCCACCCTAGATTTACTTCTTCTATCCCAGAGCACCCCATAAGCCCACCCATAGCCTGCCAACCTGGCAGGTTCTATTCTGACTCCAACCTTGATTCTGCCATTTGAATTTTTCATGGATGGGGGCTTTCTACTCTCAAAGTTGCAGGCATAACTAGTAGAGACTCCATTTTGCCCTTGCCGGTCTTTATGGCAGAGAAAGCTTCTCCTTCTCTACTCAAGGAGGTGTAAGTAGCCAACTTGGTAGCTCTTCTGCATCCTCCTAGCAACTGTCTGATAGTGCAATTATTATAGCTGCCTTTAGTCTTACCCTCCCCCTTTGCCCACCCAACCACAGTTCATGGATGGGACTGGTGCCTTCTAGGCAATGGTGATGCTTCTAGGTTTTCCTGAGATCTGTCATGCAGGGAATCATCATGTATCCTCCCTTCTTTGGGATGATGTAACTGCTTGTATAGGAAGGGGGGAATCACTGGTGCATGAGACCTGCTGGTGCCAAGCCATAAGGAGGAGCTGTGGCTCAGTGGTAGAGCCTCTCCTTGGCATGCAGAAGGTCCCGGGTTCAATGCCCACCATCTCCAGCTAAAAGCATCTGGCGGTCAGTCTCTGCCTGAGACCTGGAGAGCTACTGCCAGCCTGAGTAGGCAGTACTGATGTTGATGGACCAAGTATTCAGCATTGTGCGGCTTTATGTACCCACGCAGAGCATCTAATAGAAAGACTTTCTTTTCTCCAGCCCCTTCCAAAGCTGATCCAAGACACCATTTGAGAATCACCACTCCAGAAGTTGTCAGGTTGGGGAAAGGTATAAGTAGTTCTCGCCAGCAAGACCATACAGGAAAGGTACGACATGGGAAACGTCTCCATCGCTAAGTTGTGTTAAGATGCAGGAAGCTGACAGCTGCCCCCACTGCCCAAGCACACACAGAAGAACATAAGAGAAGCCGTGTCGGATCAGGCTAGTGGCCCATCCAGTCCAACACTCCGTGTCACACAGTGGCCAAAACCCAAAGGCCATCAGGAGGTCCACCAGCGGGGCCAGAACTCCAGAAGCCCTCCCAGAGCATCACTGCCCCACACACATTCTGCCACTCTTGTTCTGGCTGCCACAGGCAAAATTGATTCAGCCTGGATTGTCTTCTCTACCCACCTCCCAACCACTATGTCACCAGGCTGTTGAAAGCAAGCTGTAATATAGACCCAGGAGTCCATTCAGAAGCTCTTATGCTTTTTACAGGTTCCCAGGAGGTCAGTGCTTGAGGGCCGCATATTGGATGCTCTCCTCTGATTCTGAGTCTGAATCTCTGTAGATGAGCTGGGGCCGTGGGGCCAGGTTCACCAGGGAGGAATAATGCAGTTCCTCTTCTTTCTGGGCCACCACATTCTCATAGTCATGCTTGGTGTCTCCCTAGAGCAGAGGAAAACAAAACCTTAGCCTGGTTAAAACATGCCCCCTTCCCTTTGCAAAATGCCCACGGCCTGTGATCATGGCAAGGGATGATCGTGAGGCCCCAAATCCCCACTTCAGACTTACGTCTCCCTTACCCAGATGGAAACCACCATGTCTCGTTTTCATTCCGTTTTCCGCTTCCTTGCACCGAATTTTTCAACGGTATTAGTCTATCAGTAAATCCACATTCTATGTGTATTATTTGTGCTAGAGCTATTTTTGGGCAGAAACGCACAGGAATGGAGTTCCGGCTGGCTCCCGAGTTGGCCACGCCCAGCAGGAACCTGGTTAAAACATGCCCCCTTCCCTTTGCAAAATGCCCACGGCCTGTGATCATGGCAAGGGATGATCGTGAGGCCCCAAATCCCCACTTCAGACTTACTTCTCCCTTACCCAAGTGGAAACCACCATGTCTCGTTTTCATTCAGCTCTGAACTACAGCGGCCCCGTTCACACTTACCTATTTGGTCCGGGAGCGGGACAGTTCGGGGGCGGTTCAAACCGGCGCGATCACACCGCAACATCTGGGAAGCGCCGTGAAACCGTCCCCGAACTGTCTCTTCTAGTGGAAACCGCGCCGCAAACTGAACCACCGATCTCGGTGGTTCAAGTGGATGCAGCGCCTCTTCCCGGCCGTCTGATCGCCGGCGCAAGGACGCGCCGGCACAACCCCGGGCCGGAGACGAACTGCGCATGCTCAGGCATGCGCAGTTCGGCCGGCTCCCGGTTAGAGCCGTCTTTTCTCTCCGCCGAGCCGGATCAACGTTGGCGCGGCTTTTAAAAGCCGCGCTTTAAAGGGTTTTTCCCCTGCCGTGTGGCAGGGGCCAGCCTGAGCCTTAAAGCTAGGGCTGCCAACAACCTGGAGAAGGAAAATGTCTTATCCCTCTTAACCAGTTGAAATGGGCAGCTGAAGGGGTTTTTTTTATAGCAAACAGGTAAATTATAACACCTAATAAATAAGATCCTCTTAAGCCTGTGTTGAAGAGCAGGACATTTTTTTTTCCAGTTTGTTGGGAATCCTACTTGACAGAAATGGCCTACAGAGTTTTCAGGCTTTCAACATATGTAGGATTGCCAGCTCTAGGTTGGGAAATACCTGGAGATTTGGGGGGGGTGGAGCCTGGGGAGGCGGGGTTTATGGAGGGGAGGGATCTCATCAAGGTGCAATGCCATTTTCCAAAGCAGCCATTTTCTCCAGGGAACTTACCTTGGTCATCTGGAGATCAGTTGTAATAGCAAGAGATCTCCAGATACCACCTAGGGGCTGGCAACCATCCATCATACGGAATAGCAACCTGAACTCTTCAGTGACAAAATTGGAAGTTCAGTTTCTCATGCCCCTGAAGCTCTTTGGCTATAGCTTCTTTTGCCGCTTCTGCTTTGGAAAAGATAAACATTTTCTAGTTTGGGGGAGAAAACCCCCACAGATGATTAATGCAAGGGTGTGTGTGTTGGTCTGTTTGTTTCTCTTTGCTCCAACAGCTCTCAAAGTTGCACAGCCGGAGACCTAAGATTCCCTTCGATCATCATCTCAAATACCTTAATCTGTCAAATTTCCCCTCGTCATGAAGCTGATAAAAGCACGGGGAAGCAAAATGAGAGAAAAAAGTAAGGTGACAAATTCAGAAGAAGAGCCCTTACTGACAAGCTGAGGCCCCTGGGACCGCTACGCTCTGTAGAGATACTATCTGGGCCGTGAAAAGGAAACATATTTTTATCTTATTTAGACAAATGGTTTTTATTTTGAGGGCGAGGTTTTCATGTGAATTGTTGAGCGGGCATCTGAAAAGAGGAAAACTGAGTCACAATAGAAGGGCTTGGTACGCCTCGCTGCTTTAGACTGGAACTGAAGGGAAAAAACGCACAAAACATTTGTTTGTCACTCTGAATCTTTCCGTTCGATAATTCATCTAATGCTCCTGAGCTCCGAATGCTAGGCTTCTGTATTTTTGACTTGGGTGAATTGTTCCCTCTAAGCTGAATTAGTGTGAGCTAGCTAACTTTTTTTTTTAGCCTCCAGCTCACACATTTTTGTCTTCGCTCAGGAAGGGTGGCTCCAGAGCAAACTAATGTATGCAGCAGCCAAATCACTCTCTCACAACTTTAATGCCAGTAGCTCACAAAGTACCATTTTTGCTCACAAGACTCTAGAGCTTAGAGGGAGCATAGCTTGGGTGTTCCTGAACCCCTATCAGGGCTATTTTTGGGCAGGAACGCACAGGAACGGAGTTCTGGCTGGCTCCCGAGTTGGCCACGCCCAGCAGGAACTCATTAGCATAATAGGCCATGCCCAACAGCAGAAACTCATTAGGATTGGATACATTAGGGGTGTGTGGCCTAACATGTAAAGGAGTTCCTGCTACAAAAAAAGGCCCTGGGTTTTGACAACAAACAAGGTAAACAGAAGAACAAGCAAAAGGTGGGTGTGGCTGGATAGCCACACTTCTGGTAACACGGGGGTGCGGCCTAATGTGCTAATGAGCTGTGCTGTCAGGGTGGTGACCCAATATGCTAATGGACTCCTGCTGTTGGGTGTGGCCTATTATGCTAATGAGTTCCTGCTGGGCTTTTTCTACAAAAAGAGCCCTGCATAGTCATACACTGGGCTTCCAAATGTGCCCTGTGACACAGCCAATCAAGAAGAGATTTTTTTAAAAAAAAGTCTTGCAAAGCTTGCCAGACTGTGACCCAGAGAAGTGTCCTCTCTCTAGCAGCATGACTCTCTGCCACACTGTTATCTCACCCTTCTTCAGGGGAACTCAGAGTGGTGTACGTAGCTGCCTTATACTGAATCAGACCCATTAATGTCAGTACGGTCTACTCAGAGCATCAGTGGCTTCCCAGGGTCTCCAGAAGAGTGCTTTCACATGTCCTCCTACCTGATCCTTTCAACTGGATATTCGGGGGATCGGGCCTGAGATCTTCTGCCACCAGGCAGATGTTCTCCCTGCCTCCATTTTATTCTCACAAAAACCCACTGACCCTGATTCTTAACAATTGTAATGGCTAATAGTATTAACGACTATCTGCCTTGCAAACTGTTTCCACTCCCCTTGAGCCCATTGTTAACTGTTAATTTTTAATTACAAATTGGGGGCTAGAACAGTATTATGGTGCCATGTTGGGGTCGGGGTTAAGCTTAATTAGATCTGTACTTAAGAACATAAGAGCATATGAGAAGCCAGTGTTGGATTAGGCCAATGGCCCATCGAGTCCAACACTGTCACACAGTGGCCAAAAATACCAGGTGCCGTGAGGAGGTCCAGCAGTGGGGCCAGGACACTAGAAGCCCTCCCACTGTTGCCCCCCCCAGCACCAAGAATACAGAGCATCACTTGCCCCAGACCAAGAGCTCCTATCTATACCTTGTGGCTAATAGCCGCTGATGGACCTCTGCTTTGTTTTAGATGATTTATTTTGATTGAATTGTTTTTTATAGTTGTGTTGTGAACTGTGCTGAGCTCACTTGCGGAGAGGGTGGTATAAAAGTCTAAACTAGACAGACAGACAGACAGATAGGTGGCAACATCTGGCCCCAAATCACCTAGATGAGTTCCTTGGGTGAGCGGAGATTTGAATCTAGGTCTTCCAAGTCTGACATTCTAACTACTAAACAATAATGGAGGGATCATACAAGGCTGTGTATAGATGCTAAACAGACAATAAATAGCCAATTATATACAGCTTATGTATTGTATTACTATGAAATTCCAATAAATACAAAATATTATATAACATCTACAATAAGGGTCCAAAATAGAAATATTGATTAAATTTCTGGATAATGTGTTTGTTTCGTGGGTCTTCTTCCAAACAGGACCGATGTATAGCTTCAAACTGCAAGAACCATCTTTTCTACTTGTGAACAAGTCTGTATACAGTTAGCAAATCATCAGTCTTCATACAAGAAGAATAAATACTTTTAAGAGTTTTTAGGACATATCAAAAATCTAAACGGGCCACCATATTCAACAGAAACAGAAGGATCAAAATGTAGCCAATGAACACATTATTCAGAAATTTCATCAATATTAATATTTCTATTTTGGACCCTTATTATATACGTTTTATAATATTTTGAATTTATTGAAATTTCATAGTAATGCAATACATAATTTGTATATAATTGGCTATTTATTGTCCGTTTAGCATCTGTATACAGCCTTGTATGATCTCTCCCTTATTGTTTATTAGTGGCTGTGGTTCTCTGTTTTTGGTTGACTCTAATTACTAAGCCACTACTAACTACAGCCCCCAAAGATGCAGCTATGGCTTCTCCTGACTTACTTTCCTTGTTTGACTCCTATCCCAGTCAACCACAGAGTTAAGGGGGGGAAATTAAGACCTATCTCCCAGTCTTGCTGTACATAACCGAAAGTCACCACTGGTCATGTCACTATATGGATGCAAATCACAACATCACTCTAACCTTTATGTCTCTAGGCATGAATTATATATAGGGTGGCAACCAAATTCAGCATAGTACCAGAAGTATTAGGTACCACTTCAGTGGGAAGGTAACAGCGTTCCATGCGCCTTGGTGTTTAGTCATGCCAGCCACATGACCACGGAAACGTCTTCGGACAGCGCTGGCTCTTCGGCTTTGAAATGGAGATGAGCACCGCAACCCTAGAGTCGGACTTGACTGGCTTTCGAGCAAAGGAACCTTTACCTTTACCAGAAGTATGTGTCTGGACTACACTGATACTGAACTTCCTTGCAGTTAACCATCTGTCCCTTTCACTTGCATTGGCCTGTCTGGCTGATTCTGCATTGGCTTTTCCCTCCGTTGTGTTATGAAAACCATTACTGTTTTATGAAACTGTATTATGAAAAACAGAAATCCCCCTCTGCACTGCATGCCGCTTTCACTTTCTTTGATCATCGCGTTTTATGGTACCTTCTGCATAGGGCTCTTTTTGTAGCAGGTACTCATTTGCATATTAAGCAACACACCCCTAATGTAGCCAATCCTCCAAGAGCTTACAGTAGCTCCTGTAAGAAGAGCTCTGTAAGCTCTTGGAGGATTGGCTACATTAGGGGGGGTGGCCTAATATGCAAAGGAGTTCTTGCTACAAAAAGAGCGGCGCCTATGGCCATTCAGGGGTGACTTTGCAGTCAGTGCTGCATTGCCCCAAGGTATTTGAATGTGGTTTCCTCCCAGTTGAGAAAAGGTGGAGTGAATGCTAGATGCAGAATCGCCCCCTCTTTCTTTCCATCTATTACAAAGGGAGGAGCAGGCAATGGGGTAAGGATTCTGTGTGGCAACGCAGAGAACTCCAGCTTCAGTTTAACATGCACCTTTGAGGTGGCTCCAGGTTTCTTGACCACACTGTAGACCGCTTCTTCATTTGAGGGATCCAGTGCAACTCTTGGGGCATTGACCCTGTAAGGAATCACAGGTTTTGATTAGGAAGGTACCATTAGAGGAAAGAAAGCCTCTCATCAATGTAAACATTTATATCCCACTTTTATTTTCATAGTTGCACACACACAAACACAACAAGTTGCCTTCTGCTGAGCTAGACCCTTGGTCAATCAAGGTCAGTACTGTCAACTCTGACTGGCAGCAGCTCTCCAGGTTCTAAGGCAAAAGTCCTTCCCATCACTTACTACCTTTTACCTGAAGATGCCAGGGACTGGACTTGGGGCCTTCTGCATGCAAAGCAGACACTCTGCACAGCTGAGCCATAGCTCCGCTCCATAATGCATTTGTATATATTACATTGTGGCAGAACACAGACTCTTATCCTTCAGTTCTCACAACACCCCTGTGAGGTAGGTTAGACTTGGAGAGAGCATCATAGCTCAGTGAAGATTGGAACCTAGCCTAGGGTTGCGGTGCTCATCTCCGTTTCAAAACCGAAGAGGCAGCGCTGTCCGGAGACATTTCCGTGGTCATGTGGCCGGCATGACTAAACACCAAGGCGCACGGAACGCTGTTACCTTCCCACCGAAGTGGTCCCTATTTATCTACTTGCAATTTCTTGCTTTCGAACTGCTAGGTTGGCAGGAGCTGGAACTAGAGACAGGAGCTCCCTCCATCATGCGGCAACCTGGGTCTTGAACTGCTTCCCTGCCGCCGCAGGGCTCTTTTTGTAGCAGGTACTCATTTGCATATTAAGTGACACACCCCTAATGTAGCCAATCCTCCAAGAGCTTACAGTAGCTCCTGTAAGAAGAGCTCTGTAAGCTCTTGGAGGATTGGCTACATTGGGGGGGTGGCCTAATATGCAAAGGAGTTCCTGCTACAAAAAGAGCCCAACTACCGACCTTCCACAGCCTGCAGTTCAGTGTCTTAACCACTTGAGCCACCGCAGCTCCGGAACCTGGCCTACCTATTCATAATTCAACACTCTGGCTAGTCAATCACACTGGCTTCTGTGACTTAAATTCTGCTATGGAAGAGGGAATTGTGGCAAGCTGCGGTCCTTTCCACACTTGGATCTCCTCCCTGGTTTTATCAAAGTTCAACTCGTGACACAATACCTTGCATTTATCCCTGGTTATAACAACATCCCTTTATCCTGGGACAAGTGTGGGGTGAAACTGGGGTGACCTCAACGTAATGTGGAAACAAAACAAAAAAATGCCTCGAGATAATTACAGGGTGAACTTGAGTGTAGTGTAGAATGTAAATTCAGGGACAGGGTTGAACCAGAATTTAAGGTCTAGTGCAGAATGTATTAATGGATTTATTCATTTTGATGTATTTATTTCGATCCCCTTAAGAGAAGCCATGCTTGCTAGGAAGTGCCGTTCCCTGTTGGCATCCTGACCCCTGTCCAGCCATTCAGCATTTTCTCACAGCCAGGCCTGTAGCCAGGATTTTTTTTAAATCCAGGGGGCCTTTAAATAAGTCAGGGGGCACCCTGCACAGACATCCCCCCCAAGGGAGTGCCACAAATTAAAAACTGGGAGTCGGGAGGGGTCTGGGCTGGATGGGAAGTCAAGGGGCTGTGGCAGTAAGTCGGGGGGACAGGCCCCGAGAGGCCCCACTGTGGCTATGGGCCTGCTCACAGCCTTCTATCAACCACCCCTCCATGGGTGCTGCCGCATCCCCTCTCCCATACCTGGCGTAATCATCTTGCTCCTCAGATGCAGCAGGGGGGAAGCGAAGCACTGCGTAGCTGACGGCTTCTTCTGCTCCCTCGTTCAGGAATGCAAGGGAGGAGTTGACAGCTCTTTCAGGGGCTCGGTTGTTGCACAGCTGTTCCGGCTTCGGCTAAGTCACGAAGAGACACAACCAGGGGTCATTTCCTGCAGGAGCGCACAGGAGCGGAGCTCCAGCAGTAAAGAGCCCAGGGGGCGGGCACATGCAACAAGCCCCACCCCCTGCTCCCAGAAGACCTCAGTCAGAGCAAGAAGCAGCCAGGTAAGCTGCAGATCCCCCCCCCAGCCCAAAACAGTCCAGTAGCACCTTTAAGACCAAGTTTTATTCAGGTACAAGCTCTCCCTCCTCTGCGAGGACAGATCTGCACGTCCCCCCCCCCAATAGCTAGCAATCCAAAAGAGTCCAGTGGAGCCTGAGCGGTGAGTGTTGCCTCCTGACACACTTTCGGTGACATCAGGGGGTGTGGCCTATGCAAATAAGTTATGCTAATGAGCGCCTGCACCTCTTTTTCTATGAAATGACCCCTGGACACAACGTTTACCTTCTTGCTTGGGAGGTCTCCATTTGTTGCCTACAGATCAACCACTGGACCCATGTGCCAAACCATCAAAGGAAGGGCAGATTGCTGTCCCTTTAGTACTTGTGGAGAAGGAAGGATATCAGCAGGAGGAGGCTGGTGTACAGGGAAAAGTTGGCCCTGCCATATTGACTACAATTCAGCTTTACTACCAGTTTAATTTTGTTGGGCCTCAGCACATCCATACTGCTGCTACCAGTGGCCTTGTCACAGAGAATGAGAGTTACCAACCTCAAAGTAGGGCCTGACCTTCTCCTGGAACTAGAACTGATCTCCAGATGACAGAGAACAGTCCCCTCAGAGGAAATGACAGCTTTGGAAAGCAGACTTTATGGTATACCATAGAGTCTAGGCAAAACCAAAGTCCTAGAATGACATCACATCCCCACTGAGTTTGGTTCCCTCCGCAGACTCCACCCTCCCTGGGCAATGGCTGGAAATCTCCACCGATTTCCCAAATTTGGGATGCCAGTGCATGCTCTGTTATTTGTAAACCAGCACAGCGCCTCCCCCTCCGAGCTATAACTGAAGCCACTGCAACGTAATACATCACCTTCCTCACAAAAAACGAGCCAGACCGCTTTGTCCTGGAAGCTCCTGCACCCCTCTTTTTCTTCCTGTGTTTTTTGAAAGAGAAAAGCTTCCCATTAACATGTGAGAAATTCCAAGCACTGCTGAACAGACCCCGTTCCCTCCAGTGAAAAGTGCTTCTACCAGTGAGACAGACACGCAGGTTCCAGCCCAGTGATGTTACCCAACAGTGCCATGCTGTGGGGTGGAGGCTGACCAAGGTGTGGAGCTGCCAACTTTCATTTATTTACTGGATTTGATTCTCACTTACTTCACTTATTCTCTGCCTCTCTCCCTAATGGGGACCCAAAGCAGCGTCCTTTATTCTCCTCACCCTTTCCTTTTATTTTCACATCAACCATGAGAGGCAGGTCACCCAGCGAGAGAAGAAGAGAAGAGACTGGATTTATACCCCACTCTCCACTACCCAAAGGAGTCTCAGAGTGGCTTACATTCTCCTTTCCCTTCCCCTCCCCACAACAGATACCCTGTGAGGTAGGTGGGGCTGAGAGAGCTCTCTCGAGAACTGCTCAAGAGAGAACAGCTCTGAAAGAACTTGTCACTGACCCAAGGTCACACCAGCAGCTGCACGTGGAGGAGTGAGGAATCAAACCTGGTTCCCCCAGATTAGAATCTGCGCTCCTAACCATACACCAAACTGGCTGTCCATGGCAAAGTGAGGATTCGAACCCGAGTCTCCCCAACCCAGTGCAACACTTCTACCCACTCCACCCCAACAGGCTTTCATGGGATGGCTGCTGTTGAATGCTAGTAAGAAGCCAGTCCTGGGTGAGCCGTGCAAGCTGAGCGGTAGCAAATTGCCCAGTGGTTGCTGCTGGGCCTGACCCCAATACGTCCTCAATAAAAAGAGTGATGATTCAAACTTGGGTCTCCCAGATCCTCATATGACACTCTAACCACTCTTCCATGCTGGCTCTCTGGTACATCCAGCTGTCCCTTTCATAGAAGTTTGGTTTGCAGCAGTTAGCAGGCAATGCTATTTTAGCTCTATGCCAAGAAACCCTGCAGCTGCCAGTTTTCTGGTCCTTTCCGCACTTGGAGCTCATCCCTGGTTTTGTCAGAGTTCAGCTTGCGACACAATACCTTGCATTTATCCCTGGTTATAACAGCATCCATTTATCCTGGGACCTCAATATCATGTGGAAACAAAAATTACCCCGAGATAATTACAGGGGTGAACTCGAGTGTAATGTAGAATGTAAGTTCGAGGACAGGGTTGAACCAGGATTTAGGGCCTAGTGCAGAAAGGACCTCTGTGTACCAAACCGGTTGGCCGGTTTGCAACTGTCTCTGAGAGAGGACTGTGGGGGATGAAGAGTAACGGCAGCCCCTGCTTGCCCTGCTTCATCTATTGCCTTGAACAGCTGCAGAAATCCATCAGATGAAGCTTGGTATGGCGATGCAGTGATGCAAGGAAGGACCCTTTCGGAAAGTGAACTCCAGCCTGCGTTTCAGAGAGCATGGTGGTTCTTTGATGCAGTGTGCAGCCCTCATGTGAACAGCTTAAGACACAACGTGCTGTATCCATTTCCATGAATGGTGAGCACTTTTCTAAGGCACCAGGAGTCTTCTCCTGATGCAAGAGGTCTCTTGCATCAGGGGAAGCCTTGTCTGCATCAGGACAACACCCTGGAACCCAACCTATCTAACCCAACAGTTTTTCACAGTGACATCCTACAGCCAAGGAGGCCAGTAGAACAGAGAAATCTTGGACATATCACCAGCAATGTTCCCTCTAAGCTTCTTGCATCAGGGGAAGCCTTGTCTGCATCAGGACAACACCCTGGAACCCAACCTATCTAACCCAACAGTTTTTCACAGTGACATCCTACAGCCAAGGAGGCCAGTAGAACAAAGAAATCTTGGACATATCACCAGGTAAATATCTCCCTGCCCTGATTTGGATGGCCCAGGCTGGTCCAATCTCATCAGAAGCTAAGCAGGGTCAGCCCTGCTTAGTACTTGGATGGAAGACCACTTGGGAACTTCATAAGAACATAAGAGATGCCAATGTTGGATCAGGCCAAAGGTCCATCCAGTCCAACACTCTGTCACACAGTGGCCAAAAAAACCAGGTGCCATCAGGAGGTTCACCAGTGTGGCCAGTGTGGACATTAGAAGCCCTCCCACTGTTGACCCTTCAGGTTCTTATACAGAGCCAACCAATGGTGAGCCACCTCTGAATGTCTCTTCCCTTGAAAATCCTATGGGGTTGACATAAGTCAGCTGCGACTTGGTGGTACTTTACACTAAGAAAGATCTTCCTGGATTAACACTTCACCCATTAAACACACACAGAGAGAGAGAATGTTGCTTATGCTTACCATGCCTTCAGAGCAAAGATGAGGATGCCCAACACGCAAATAAAACTTAGAATGATGCCAAGGCCCGTCATGCCATGCTTCAGCTTGGTAGCCCTGCTGTCTACACAACATAAGAAAGAGAACGGGCTTGCAAGGACTAGATCCGAAAGCAGCTTTGGTTCTATGCAATGCAAGCTCATGCCAACTCCAGCCGACTATGTAAGCTAGCAACCAGCTTATCGGCAGATGTTCAGCCAATAGCTGTCTCAGTATATCAGTGTGGAACTCAGATGCTGTTAACTACTCACAGGACACAGAGAGCATCAGGATTTGTGATTCGCCTACGGAGATTGCATTGTATGCTTTGCAGTGATAGTTTCCCGAATCTTCGACCTGAACTTTTCGGAGAAGCAGGATTCGTTCATTTCTTTCCATCAGCCTTTCTTTGTCTCGGTACAACTCAAAACCGTGAGGAGATGGGTTGGCATCAGCAGCACACAGCAGTGAGACATCCATTCCCTCTGTCACTGCCACCTGCCTCTCCAGAGACAGATGGACATTGCGAGGTCCATCTGCCCAGAAAAAGAAAAGCAACCATTCATTACAACCCATCATTTGGCCTTGGGGCTTTCAACACCATTGCAAGGCAGGCTGAATGGAAGACTGAATTCAAATCAATCTCATTACATGAATACATATATAAATACAGGAAGCTGCCCTCTACTGAGTCACACCATTGGTCCATCAAGGTCATGGGAAAGGTCCAGGCTCTGGTCAGGTGCGTAGTTCTTAACTGGGAGGGAAGTAATAAGGAAAAGTCTTTATTAAATAAGTCCTGAACATACCCTCTCTCTCTCTCTCTCTCTCTCTCTCTCTCTCTCTCTCTCTCTCATTCCCCCCTCCACTCTGCTGAGTCACTTCTGTAGCTGTTCCTTCATACTCTACCTTCCCCGTTCCCCCGAGTTCCCTGTTCCTGGCCAAAGTCTGTATCTTTTCCATCATTAGTTTGGCATTGACCAGAGCCTGGAGTCTTTTCCATCGTGGCTCTGGTTCTGTGGAATGGGCTCCCTGGAGAGGTGAGGAGGACCCCTCCTTGGAGATCTTCTGGAGATGCTTCAAGGCTTACCTGTTTGCCAGGGCTTTTGAGGGGATCTGAATGGAAGGCATCTTTAAGGGGTGGAGATTTGGGGTTGATAGTTATGTTTTTTGGTGTTAAACTGAAAATGCTGTTAACTATTATTGTAAGACACGACCCATGAGGAAAGGTGAGAAATAAATATCTGAATACATAAATAAATATTGTCTACTCTGACCGACAGAGGTCTCAGGAAGAGGTCTTTCACATCACCTACTTCTTGATTTTTTATATATATATAAAAAAACCCTGGAGATTCCAGGGATTGAACCTGGGACCTTCCATATGCAAAGCAAAGGCTGTACCACTGAGCCATGACCCTGCCTCAGTGAAACTCAGCCACCAGGATAGTAGTCATTCAAACCCCAGGAGACCTATCTCCCAGAAGATACAATCTGCACAACCCCAGGATTTGGTGATGGGCGTGGAATTCCCCACACAAAAAAGGGGGAGGGGAGTCTCTTGTCCAGAGGCATTATCGATGTCAGGGAGGAGTTTTCGCATGATATGCTGGTTTTCTATGCACAGGGATTTATTTTTGGTCATGTGGGGAAGCACTCATGGAATCCTCCACCCGCAGTCTGAAACGGTGCAGTCCTTGTACACTTTTGCCATATTAATGTGAAATAGACTTGATCCCTTCTTCTAAAGAAATCTGTTCCTTAGCTTTGCCAAGACTAAACCACGTGTCAAATAGCTTGTGTTACTCATGACAGAGAAGCTCCATGGCTTTCCCCTTCCCCATTTTTTCTGACAACAATCCTGTGATGTTAGCTAGACGGAGAGACAATGATGAGCCCATGCAATGTGTCAGACTGGGGATTTGAATCCAGCCCCCTCCTCCTCCTCCTCCTAATCCAACAATTTAACCACTAAATATCACTTGTTCACAAGGTGCTTCCATTTCAAGGGCAAAGTACCAGCTCCCATTTGAACCATACGCGTATCATTGTGGGGTACAGCCAGTCTAGAGACACCAAAACTTTGGGGGTTCGTCCTTAAGTGTGAGATAGGGTAGGACTGATTCCTAGAGCAAAAGAATCAGATTCTCAAGGTTTATCATCAGCCTATTTCCAAGCGTCTTTCATTCTCTTACTCACAATAGACATTCAGCCTAATTTCTTGGGAAGGGGAAGTAGCCACACTGTTAGTGGCCTCACACCAGTATGTGCCAGAATGTGATGACGTCACGTGATAGATGGTCAGCACAGCAGGTGCAGAATCCAGATATTGCTGTACCCCATCTTTGTACCATCTGTAGCTGTCAACTTTGGGATTTGCCTTTGCCACTTCACACCTCAAGTTAACACGGTTGCCTTCACGAATCGTTTTTAGTTCTTGCACAACTTTGACCCCTTTGGGGGCATCTGCAAAGAGAGAGAACAAAAACAAAATACTCCATGAGGACACTGGACCTACCCGGGCACATGAATTCAGAAAAAAATATGCCCGCTGCACATTTCCTGCATGCTGATTCCACTTTGCAAATGCAGGGCATACAACACATTTGTGGTTTAACATTTTGCTGAACATTTTTATTCAAGATCTCTACCCTAAGCATGCCCCTTTTTTGTACGCCAACAGTATATCCTTTCTACTTACATTATCATCGGTATCAATAAGCACCATAAAGTTCGCCAAAATCATTTGTAGATGTGTAAGATGTACCAGACAATAGACCACAATTCGCAGGTTTGAATGGTCTCCCTGTGTAAAATGTACCAGACAATAGACCACAATTCGCATCCTACGTCCTTTATGAAATTCAATGGTATGAAACATTTGACTTCTACACCATGTGATGGGGACAGTACAAATTTTAGCTAGATTCAAAGAAGGAGTCCAAATCACTACTAACAACTAGAGTAGAAACTCTTTTCTTTGGTGATTGATCATGATCAAGGAAAGCATCCTTAGAAAGTTCAAGACACTGACACTCTGACATTGTTCATCTTTGGTACTTATAGCCAAGTTGACATGACAAGAATGCAGCAACCTAGAAGCAATCAATAAATGCTACAACCTTATCTTTATCACTCTTCTAGTGTTAAGAAGAATCACTGATTGCCATGTCCAAGAAACCAGATATGTGTTAATGGTTAGTTTGCCCTATGAGGCAAAGAATGTAAACTGTAGCAATCTTCAACTAAAAACACATATAACACTGCTGGATCATCACTGGGTCAAACGTTCCCCTCAAATCTTCACTTGGCCTTCACTAACATGGCTACACTATAGCTCATTCACAGTTCACCTTTTCCACCTTCACACTCTACCTAGCTACCAAAGGTCTGATGTTACAAATGTTACATCAACAGACAGTGCTTCATCTCCCACGCTGGCTTTGCCACATGCTCAGCCTGTGATTCCCTGCACTTGCCACATAAATAAGAAGAGGAGTTGCAGCAGCTGTGCATTTGCGCATGAAAGCAACTTCCTCCTGTTATCTTCCTCCCACCTGCTGTGAACATTTTCTATTAATCAGTGAAAGATGTTTCAGGGATTACAACAAGTACATTCAATGGTATTACTCACAGTGTATATCCACAGTGACTGGTTGAGCTGGAACACAATTTACAGTATTGCAGGCTTCACAGGTGTAATCACCAGCCTGTTCTAAGTTTGCAGGGAAGATCAGCAGGTCTCCTTGATTTGATAGCCTTGATTTATCCTTATACCATTTGTATGAGATACCACTGCTAGGGTTACTGTGACTGAATGAACAGTTTAGCCTGATGGTGTCTGCCTCCTTTATGGGCAGCTGTTCATTTTCAATGACAAGCTGGACATCTTTGGGAGCATCTGGGAAATCAGAGAATCATAGAGTTGTAAGGGACCTCCAGGGTCATCTAGTCTAACCCCCTGCTCAATGCAGGAAATTCACAAATACCTCCCCCACACACACACCCCATGACCCCTGCTCCATGCCCAGAAGAAGACAGATCAGAATATTTCTTTACAGAGAAGGCAGAGGGTGAGGGTGATACAGTGAATGTGCATACTTGGAGAATAACCAGGCATTGTCAAGATTCAACAAATAAAAGGCAGTGATGAACATCAGTTCCTATTACCGCCTTGAAAGAAAGGACCATGTTTCTTAAGAAAACGTGTGCTCAGGCTCTTCAGAAACCTGATCGAGGGACAGCCCACAATCTAAACGAGATGAAATCTTTAAAACATAAAAATTAACAATGGTGGTGGAGCCACAACAAAAATACTGAGTGTAAAAGCTCATAAAACCACACTCTGATAAGAGCCGCCATTCAAGGCCAACAATCAACCAAACAATCAGCAAATCTCTCCTGTATGGGGAAGCTGCCCCAGCCAACTGGGGCAGATTAGTTCCAATCACTGCTGAATCATACTGACTACACTCAGTTTGGGGATGGGCTTTGGCTCAGTGAAAGAGCATCTTCGATCTAATTTATTACAGCAAGAGCCAGTAAAACAGTACAATTCTGATACAAGAAAGATTAAAACAGTAATAACATAGCAATAGTATAAAAACATTAACTAGAGATTATTAATAAAATTAGTAAAATAAAATAATATTAATAAGCGAATCATACATTTTTTTCAGCTAAAATAAGTTTATGTTTCCTAATAGCTAAGCAACAAAATTTTGCCACAGCGTAAGTCACTGAGCATCTTCTAGGAGGAATTTATGAAGGACTTCTGGCCTAAAATCAAGATAAGATTGCTGAGGGCTAAATCTAGACAGAAGGGGTAGTATAAGATGGTCTCGTTCCTCCTGATAGAGTCTGCAAAACAGGAGGATATGAGTAATTGATTCCACCATATTAGCCATGCATGGGCATATACGTTCAGAGCATCTTCTTTGAATGCAGAAGGTTCTAGGTTCAATCCCTGACATCCCCAGTTAAAAGGACCAGGTCGCAGGTGAGATCCAAGAGATTTATTTTTCTCAAATATCCTCTGTACTCATGGGAACTTATCTTGGAAAATTAGACATCCAGGCTGCTATTATCATGCATTGCTCCCCCAAAAACATTGCTTTTCCAAGCAAATGCATTGACTAATGACTATAGCAAACTGCTTCTGCATTTACTGCATCGCATACCATACTTCATAGGTTACCAGCCCCCTTGCAGCTACAGATAACAACTGAAGTAAGGACTGAGTAACCAGGCAGGTCTAGGGATGCAGGCACTTCCCCCCTTGGCTGACCTCACCTATGTCACCTGCTTCCTTCAAACAACCACTCATTTCGCATTCATGCACACTCCACCTCTTGCATCTGTTGCTACTTACAAAGAACATCCAAAGTGACTGGTGAAGATTTGGACTGGCCAAGGCTGTTGTCGGCTACACAATAATAGGTACCAGCATTTTCGAACCGAATGGCATTGAAGCGCAGCCGGTCACTGTTCTGGAATACATCAGTTTGCGGATGTTTATACCATTCATAACGGGAGATTCGTGGATTTCCTCGAGAAGAGCACTGCAACTCCACTTTTTCACCTTCCCTGATAATCCCTTGTGGCCTCCCCTCGACTTTAACCTCTTTAGGTGGATCTAGGCAGAGGATACAGAGGCTGAAATTAGGACTCCAAGTATTTGCTGTCAGTTCTTGCAAGGCCAAAGAGCTCTATTTCCACTGAGGGACAGGAGAGGACAGAAACTGGACAAAGGAAGAGAATGATGTGCTTAAACAATTATTTCAGCCAGTAGAAAAGTGAGCTGTACCAATTGAAAAAGAGAGGCAACAGATCTGGAGGTACCATGAAAGAGCTACCACTGGCCAGTTCTTTGTTATCCTAGATTTAACATCATGGCTTGGGAACCGGTTGGATTTTTGCATCAGGGTTCAAAATCTCCTGGGTTAGTTCTGGAAGGTAGAGTACTTTATTTATTTATTTATTATCCTGTCCTCCCGTCCAGGGCAGGCTCAGGGCGGCTTACACAAAGATATAAAACGATTAAAAGAAGGATTAAATAAAATCAGAACAGTACAATTATAAATATAAATATAAAAAATATAAAGTGCTAGTTTGGATTAGATGGCGGACATAGCAGCATCCTCAGGTAACAACCCTCTGACATCATAGTCTGGGTTGCTTGGCTGTTAGCAATGATGTTAGTGTTGGGACAGGGCTACAGTTGCTTGGGAGAGGCTCCCTAATCGAAGGCCTGGTGGAAGAGCTCCGTCTTGCAGGCCCTGCGGAACTGTAAAAGGTCCTGCAGGGCCCTGATGTTCTCTGGGAGCTCGTTCCACCAGTGTGGAGCCACCACTGAAAAGGCCCTGGCCCTTGTCGCAGCCAGCCTGGTTTCTCCGGGGCCCGGTAGGGCCAAGCGGTTTTGGGACCCCAATCATAGTGCTGTCTGGGGAACATGTGGGGAAAGGCGGTCCCTTAGCTATGTAGGCCTCTGACCATATAGGACTTTAAAGGTAAGAACCAGCACCTTGAACCAAATTCCGTATGCTATAGGCAGCCAGTGCAGTGCTTTTAGCACAGGCCAGATGTGCTCCCACACAGGAAGGCCGAACTGCAGCCCAGCCATCGCATTCTGCACCAGCTGCAGCTTTTGGATTTGGGACAAGGGCAGCCCCATGTAAAGAGAATTACAGTAATCCAGTCTCGAGGTGACCATTGCATGGATCACTGTTGCCAGGTCACTGCATTCAAGGAAGGGAACCGGCTGCTTGATCAGCCAAAGATGATAAAAGGCTGACTTCGCAGTGGCTGCTACCTGAGCCTCCATTGTTAAGGAGGCATCCAGGAGCACTCCCAAGCTCCTAAACTCTGGCACTGGCACCACTGGCCTCCCATCAAAGGTCGGGAGTGGGATCCCTACCCTCAGGCCACTCTGACTCAGGCACAGGACCTCCGTCTTCGTTGGATTCAGTTTCAGTAGACTCAGTCTAAGCCAACCATCCACAGCTTTCAGCGCCAGGTCCAGATCTTCTGGGTTAGAGTCAGACAGGCCATCCAACAACAGATAGAGCTGGGTGTCATCCGCATATTGGTGACACCCCAGCCCATGCCTCCGGGCAATCTGGGCAAGGGGGCGCATGTAGAGGTTAAATAACATCGGGGAAAGCACTGCTCCTTGGGGCACTCCACAAATTAGTTTCCCAAAGGCCACCCTTTGTCCCCGACCCTGAAGGAATGAAGTAAGCCACTGCAAAGCAGACCCTTGAATCCCAGTGTTGGCAAGGTCAGTAGTTGGTAGTCGACTGTCGAACGCCACCGACAGGTCCAACAACAACAACACTGCCGAACCACCCTGATCCAGATGCCTCCAAAGGTTGTCTGTGAGGGCGACCAGTGCCGTCTCCGTCCCATGGCCTGGTCGGAAGCCAGACTGGAAGGGATCTAATGCGGAGGTGTCATCCAAAATACCCTCCAACTGAATCGCTACCACCCTATCGATTAATTTGCCCAAATAGGGCAAATTGGACACCGGCCAGTAGCTAGCCAATTCGGCCGGGTCCAGAGATGTTTGGAGGGGTTTTAAGAGAAGACATACCACTGCCTCCTTGAGTGCCCCAGGGAACAGTCCCTCGGAGAGGGACTTGTTGTTCATTTCCCTTAGGGCACCTTGTAGCCCGTCGTGGCCAGCTTTAATTAGCTGTGACAGACACAGATCAAGGCTGCAAGTGGTAGGGCGAACAGTTAAGAATAATTTGTTGACCTCCTCTAGGCTGAGTGGACTGAAATAATCCAGAATTTGACAAGAAGATGCTCATGGAGCCTCGAGTTCACCTTCTGTATCAACTGTGGCGGGACGTTCACAGCTGAGCAACAGAACTTTATCTGCAAAATAGCTCACAAAAGCCTCACAGTCAAACTCCAGTTCCTTAACGTTTGGTCTACCCTGAGGCCAAGTAGCAATGGACCGAATTGTTCTAAATAATTGAGCTGGGCAAGAGCTTGCAGACACAGTCATGGCCGCACAGTACTCTTTCTTAGTGGCTTTGACTGCCATCTCATAGGATCTCATAAACGTCCTCTAGGATGCTCTTGTAGCTTCATCACAAGCATGCCGCCACTGTCTCTCTAGTCATCTGAGCCCTCATTTCATCAGCCGCAGTTCCTGAGTATACCATGGAGCAAGCCTCAAGCGGGGGCACAGAAGGCATCAGGGAGCAATTGAGTTGGTGGCTGCTGAGAGTCGCCTATGCCAGTCCTCAACAAGCTTATCTAATGAGCCACCAGAGGGCATCGGATCCCGCAGAGCCATCTGGAGCCACATAGGGTCCATTTGGTTCTGCAGGCGAGCTAAAATGCGCTCGCCTCCCATACAGGGTCAGGGTGTGACATTCATACAGGGTCGGGGTGGGACGTTCACACAGGCCCTAAGGGCATGGTGGTCCAACCATGGAAGTGCTGTAGCAGTAATTTGGTCCACTGTAACCCCCGCCATGAAGATCAAGTCGAGCGTGTGCCCTGCTTGGTGAGTGGGAGCCGTTACGTATTGGGAGAGACCTAGTGCCACCAAAGTCCATCACCTGAGTGGAAGCCGTGTCATCGGTATGGACATTGAAATCACACAGGACTATCAGTCTGGGGTGCTCCAGTGCCCAGCCTGATATGGCCTCCAACAGGGATGGCAGGATATTTGATGGTGCGTTAGGCGGATGGTACACCAGCCAAATAGCCAAACTCTCCCCAGCTTCCCACACAAAGCCAGCGCACTCAATGCCTGTGAGCCTCGGCAGTGAGCGCGCCCTGAAGGTGTAAGCCTCCTGAATGAACAGAGCCACGCCTCCCCCCTCCCCTTAGTCTGGGACTGGTGAAGGACTGAGAACCTGGGAGGAGCCAGCTGGGAGAGAGCTACAGTCTCCCCATCTTGTACCCAGGTCTCAGTCACGCACACCAGGTCCATATCCTGTTCCAGCAGGAAGTCACGAAGGACCATGGTCTTATTATTTATGGACCTGGCATTACACCACACCAATGTCGGAGAGGGATCATTAATCCTAGCCCCACTGCCTACTACCTTCGGGATGGGACATAGGCTGGAAGGGGACCACACCCTTCTACTTTTCATTCCCCTTCCCCCATAGTCCTACCTAGTCCCACCGCTATAGTTTCCCCTCCCCAGGAGCACTGGTATCCCCTGCCCAGACACAGCCAGTTAGTGGTCTTCGCTAGGCCACAGACTAGTAATAGGCTGTTTGGTGGTTAAGATGTAAATAGGGGTGCTACTAACTATAGCAGTTCTCCCAGTAGCATTAGTCCTAGCTAATCTCAACAATCCTAATTTATCCTAACAAATAATTAAATATCAATGGTCTAACAATTTGGTACAAAATACTCTAATTCACTGGCCAGTGAGAAAATAAAGACCAGTGATCGTCTCCCAGTTTACACTACAAATTCTAAATCCAATTTATCAAATACCAATTATAAAAGAATTCAACCAATAGGATAATTGGTCCCTAGCAATTAATTGACTGATTAAATGCAATTCATTTTAATCAATTTAGATGGTTAATCTATATCAGAAAAATTCAAATCACTATTCTTCCCTTCAATTAATTACTCCCACAATTAGACCTTAATTAATTATTATAATAACCCTACAATAAATACCCCTAAATAACATCTAAATTTAAATTAATTTCGGTCGAAGTTACTTCCTAGATTTGGTATTCCATCCTGTCTTGAGATCATTTATGGAATTTGAGAGATAATCAGAAATTTATTGCCCTGAAACATTATACAACAGGTACCTTCAAAGAACTGGATTTAACATTCAGGTTAATATTTTGTCACTAATATATGGAATTCATTCAGAAAATGATATTTTAAATAGTTTGAGGTACTTGATTAATTTATGTTTCCTGATGCCACAGATCTCATGGTAAATACTGAAATGAGTACTTTCTGTATCTTGCTTGATAAGGGTTGCCAACCCTGGGTTGGGAAATTCCTGGAGATTTGTGGGTGGAACTTGGGAACAGTGGGTTTGTGGAGGATAGAATACCATAGAATGCATGTTCCAAAACAGCCATTTTCCCCAGGGGAACTAATCTGTCTAGTCTGGAGATCAGTTCTAATTCCAGGAGATCTCCAGGTAGGGTTCCCAAGTCTTACCTGTATCGTCGGTGGGGGACTCCCATGTTGTTCCGGGAGCACACAAAGCGCACGCACACCGCGAGCACATCACCCAGAAGAGACGTGGCCGCGTTGGCCATGCCGGGGGCGGGGCTGAGGTCATCAGAGGGGAAAACATACAGTTTTCCCTCGGATGACTGCAGCCCCACTGGCATCCCATCAAAGGTCGGGAGTGGGACCCCTACCCTAAGGCCACTCTGACTCAGGCACAGGACCTCAGTCTT